GATTTAAAATTCCAAGAACCATATCAGATTGAAAAAAAAAGAAAAATATGAAACATTTTTTGTCTCCAAGTTTCTAATTTGCCGCCAAAAATGGGTCGCCGGCGTCCGGCCTAGCAACTTGCTCGTAGCTCGTCGAGTGTCCCCAGGTAGGATAATAGTTGTGTTATTTTGGACAAAATATGCTATTTCTCGTCAAATTAAACCCGGAATTCTCAAGTTAACTATTAGAGGAGGCCAAAGCAACTTTAGCATTGTAGCCTGCGTAGCAATCTTTTCCGTTTCCTTTCAGCAAGCGGGAGTCGCGCGAAGGCACGGGGACAGAGATAACAAAAAAATTAGTGGCAGGGGGGAGGGGCAGGGAAGGAAAGGAAAAGCTTGCTGCTGACCCCAGACATTTTACCGAATGCCCCTAATTGCTTTCGCTCCCTAGGGGCGTCAACTGTCACGTCAACTGTCACACGAGACCCAATCATATTGACTGAATTGCCGTGTTTGTCAATGCTCATTTAAAAAGAAGTTTGGAAGTTTCTCTCAAAAGAAAGGATATTTATCCAGCGAAAATCTGTTCAAGCCTTCCAACAGAAAAGATTGTCGTGGAGTCGTGTTAGCCGAAGTTTTGAAAAAGACTGGCATTTCCATCGAACGTGACGAAAATGTTTCAGATCGCGTTTGCAATCCCTGGGCAAGGAAAATCCGCAATCTAGGCAGTCTGCATACTTTAATGGAAGGAATATCACAGAAGTGTAAATTAACTAATCATAACAATTGCAATTTCCTCAAATGTGATTGGTGCACAAACTGCTGTATTTTGCTCTAATAATAATTAATCCGAAAAGCTGCAATCGGACAGTGTAATCGGACAGTTGGCTGTAATCGGACAGTTACATGAACCAATCATTTTAAGTCCTCCCCACTAAATCTACCGATAACAACATTGACTAAAATCGCTATAGTAACCAATTCAAGAGACTGACTTTGTAAAATTGTGGAGGTGACTGTTCCGGTCACTGTTTTGAAACAAAATTAACAGCCATTTTGCAAGCTAGGTCTCCATACTTTTAATCATGATATTTAAAAAATGACTATTAAAAGGTCTTTTTCAAATGGAACTTTTCTTTTACTTTTGTAGGAAATTGTAATGGTTATGATTAATTGGTACCAGGACAACCTGTCGTTCAATTCAGTCTGTGATTATACTCGTGATTAACAAATTCCCTTTTAGAGATTCCCCGTTTTAGAGATTCTCCCTTTTAGAGATTCCCCCTTTTAGTTATTCCCCCTTTTAGAGATACCCTGTTCCCCGTTCCCCATTCCCCGTTCCCTGTTCCCCGTTCTCCCTTTCCCCATTTCCCGTTCCCCGTTTTCCTTTTCCCTGTTCCCCGTTCTCCGATTCCCCGCTTCCACAATTCCACGATTTTCCAATTCCCCGATTCCCGGATTCCCGGATTCCCGGATTCCCCGATTTCCCGATTTCCCGATTTCCCGATTTCCCGACTTCCCGATTTCCCGATTCCCCGATTTCCCGATTCCCCGATTCCCCGATTCTCCGATTTTCCGATTTTCCGATTCTCCGATT